TTTAATCTCCTTCCTTCATGTTAAAACAATGTCAGTTCTTTATCCAGCTTCATTTTATGGGATATTACACCGAAAATAGCTACTGTGTGCAATTTTAGGTGTTTGTAAATAGCAGTATAACATATTGAAATAATTAAGCATTGAAATTATGTTCTGTTTGTAAGATCATATTTGTTTTGTACATTACTGAGTTAAATAGCATCAGTAATCACAGACTGGAACATAACTAGAGAACACAGTTCGATGAAAAGAGACTTGGGTTACTGATGCAGCTGTTTGTGCTCACTCACATTGCACTGCTTTCTTCACACTCATCTTTCAGTATTTGAGAGGATCAGGATGAGGATGGAGAACGCAGGTGCTGTTAGAAAAGAATTATTTTATTCAGCTAGTAGAAATGGACCTTGAGAATCATGTTCTCACTTCTTAAGAAAGTCTTGCATTTCTCATGTTCACTTGCTCGCCGAGAGGACTGGCTGCTTGGGGCAGCCTATTACCTCCTACCGTGGTTCCTTGTGAAGGGTCCTGCTGACAGTGAGCAGCGCTGCCTCAGGTCCAGCTGTGCTGTGCTCCCTTTACACAATCAGATGTGTAAGAGATACTTGACAGTATCGCAGTTTGAATTCAAAACCTCACACTTGCTAGGCAGGCACTCTACCACTTTAGCCATACCCTGCCCTTTTCGCTTTGGTTATTTTTGAGATAGGGTCTCTGGTTTTGACCTGGACTGCAGTCCTTCTACTTAGCTTCCTGCTTAGGTAGGATCACAGGTGCACTGCTGTACCCAGCTTTTTGGTGGTGGTTGTTGAGGTGAGGTCTTCCTAACTTTTTTCCCCTGGGCTGGCCTTAAACGGTGATCCTCCTGATCTCTGCCTCTCAATTAGCTGGGACTGTAGACACGAGCCACTGTGCTTCGCCACTAAAATGTTTTTTGACCATGGTCACAATGCAAGATCATTTTTAACCTGGTGGACACATGTGTGCACACGTGTACTTTGTAAGTGGGAAAGGAGTTTCACAAAACATTGCTCACCCTACAGTTTGGGTGCTGAGCCACTGTTTGGAAAGTTCGGTCATAGAAATAGAAATGTCCCTAACCTTTGAATTAATTTGATCCCCAGACCTAAAAATATAAAAACATTAGCACAATGCTAGTTCTTAAAATGTTTCAATTTATAGTTTCTATTTAGATTTTTGACAGTTCCTTATTTGTGTAGTGTCAGGCTAAGCAATGAAGAGTATTTGGAATTGATGTGAGTGACCTTAAGAAAAACTGAGTGTGTCAATGTTTGTTTTACAGGCATGCATCGCTGTAAACATTGGAAAAGGACAATACTGAGTGACTAAAAGGCACTAACTAAAGGGTTATCTTGTGTAGCCCTGTGTCAGTAGAGAAGGAAGAATGGGCCCAGCTCCTAGGAATGCTTTCTTACTTGTGTAAAGACTTGGGTTCTCGTTTACAGTGTTTAGCTTCTCTGGTGTCTCTCAGCAGTGTCTTTGTCACTGTTACCGGAGCCGTAGCTTCGCAGGTGCAGGACAGCCTTATCCCAGTCATAGGCACGAAGTGCTCATTAATAATCCAGAATCTTGTTAGATCTGCTCTCATGATGGAAGTCTAGACTTCCAGGACCAACCTTTTGCGAGGAGCTGCGATAAGATGGCGCCCCATCCACCCCGTCTAAATGTTCAGATGAGGCAAGGGGTTGTGCTCTTTATTATTTTACATTAGAAAGCCATGTGCAGACAAAAAATAGTTGCAGAGATCTTCAGAGGACGTCAGCGATCCTCTTAACCTGCTTCACTTTGTTCTAAATGCTGTCACCTTCCTTCCTTTAGAACCCAGGAGACTGCTGGGCCTGAGCTGATCCTGCCTGCAAGCATTGAATTCAGGGAAAGTTGTGAGTCATTTCAGATTGCAGTGTTAGTGAATTATTTCTTGTTGCATTTTTCACCATATGATGTTCATGTTTTTCTGTTCTTTCTTCTTCTGAAATCTTTTTACAGCTGAAGACTCATTTTTATCTGCCATCATAAATTATACCAATAGCTCCACAGTGCATTTTAAGCTGTCCCCTACCTATGCGCTGTACATGGCGTGTCGGTACGTATTGTCTAGCCAGCACAGACCCGACATCAGCCCCACGGAGCGCACGCACAAGGTCATTGCTGTGGTCAACAAGATGGTGAGCATGATGGAAGGGGTCATCCAGGTAAGCTCCAGCCCGACAGCCTCTGGCTAAACTTTCACTCCCTCCTGACATGGATTTCAAAAACAGAAGTCACACGAGGAGCATAGGAAAATGTACAGCTATGGAAAGCTGAAAGGAAATAAAAACTTTTATTTCCTATTTCTTTCCTGTAAACTGGAGAATAAACAAAGATAAACTGTGTGTTAGCTTAATAACAGTGAGGCAGGCCCTTAAAATTGCAGTAGAAGACATGAAAGTATAGAAAATTGCTTAGCATTTTCCTTAAATCTATTGGAACAAAACTGACATGGTGTGAACAATTCTGTAGCACTCAGTGCATCACAAGTTTGTGTGGCCTCCACCTCCAAGACCTCTCCATTGCTCCAGAGTACGACCCCTCCCACCTCGTCCCTCGCCTCCACTCTACTAGACGCTTTATGTTACAGATGGCCTGCCCTTCCCGAGTGCACGCCATAGGGTCTGGTTGGAATTGTCTGATTTTTTGACAGCATGTATATGTAGGAGTGACGGGCATCATCATACATTTCTCACTTAAGACACAGTTCTTTCATAGACCTTACTTGAAAATCTCAGGAAGTAAGGTTATTGTGTTGGTAGAATAGTTTGGTTCCTTTCAGGACTCTGCTGACCTACCACTGATAAAATTGGTATAGCTATTTCATATGTACCGATAATTTGACAGTTCAGTCTTTAAAGTCCTTGAAAGTAAAATTAAAAGGCATCTTCCCAACTGAGTTATAGCTGCTGTTCCTCAGCCATGAACCCTAGCAGTGCAGTGTGAAGAGCCACAGTTCTCTGTTTGGTTGGGTTGTCTCCTCACAGGACGATTTGAGGGAACTCAGGTGTTGTTTGCATTCCCTCCGAGTTTTTGTTGTTTTGTTTGTTTATTGGTTTATGATTTTTTGAGGCAGAATCTCACTAAATAGCCCAGGCCAGTCCTGAAGCTGTTCTGTAGTCCAGGCTGGCCTTTAACTCAAGACCCTAGTACATCAGCCTCCTCAGCGCTGGGATTACAGGTGGCACCACCATGCCTGGCTCCTCAGAATTGTTTTAAACAGCCCAAATCTCCCCCAAAAATGTTTCTTTCATACTTGACTGATTTGCACAGTATGAGCTTGGTGGAGCTATGATTTGTTTACTTACCGTAAGAAATAGGTAAAAAGGAAGGTCACCTCGTTTGGATAGCTTGCTACTCTAGTGTCATCACTATAAACAAGCATGAGTTTCCTTTTCAGTTGTCATTTAGAGCCATTGTCTGTCTCCATCATCTGTGGATCTGTAAAGCCCATCTTAGACTGTCACGCTCCTGCCATAGGCTGTCTTGAGAGCTTGTCCTTGCTGATGTCTGCCAGTCAGGGCAGTCACCACTCCCAAGACAAGTCTTCTAAAGACAGGTCAGATAGGGGTCAATATGCAAGTAGAGGAATTTTAAAGTAGCGGAAAAGAATTATGGAAATGAATAATTTAATTTTACTTTCAAAAAACAAATATTTTCTTTAGTAGAGGCATAATTAAGTTCTTTATGCATTTTACTTTGTTTCTACTGGTCTTTCCTGTCTCTTTTATTCTTATAATTAATTCAAGGGGATGGACTCTCATGTACCTTTTAAGTAGTGAGCACAAAGTATGATTTTAAAAAAGTTTAAATGTCCTTCCTTTGCAAATCTTTTAAAGAAATCAGTGTGTGTTTGTGTTTTACTGTGACATCATTTTTATAGATAAGCTATAGATCACTTATTGTGCCCAGTATTAAGAACACAAGAGTAGTCTTTTATGCCATGTAGTTGCGAGATGCTTCAGAGCCATGAATGAAAATGTCACTTGGGAGTAACATAACTAAATGTTGTACCTTCATGTTGTGCATTCATATTAGTGTTTTGATTTTTGTAATCTATCACGATTGTTTACGAGTCTCTTTCTCTCGTTCTGCTTGATTTCCCCTCGTCTGTTTTTCTCCAGGAAGTAGACCAGGTTGATCAGGTAGGACATACTGCTGGGAGCTAATCCTAGCTGTGTTGGCTTAGCTGAGTTTCTCATGCTGCTTCCGTGTCCAGTATGGTCCTACAGCAACTGGACCGACCAATTCATAACACTCATCCAGCAACTGAAACATGCAGTACTAAACCCTTGACTGTGCAACTTGTATCAGCATTTCATAATTTCTGCTTAATGCACTTCAGTGTGGATATGAAATGACAAAAATTCTGTTTCTTCTCTTTATTTATCCTTGGTTCCTATTCTTTGGATCTCATCTGAGGTTGCCTGGCCTGCACATGTGGTCGGGAGAGGATGTGATGGATCAGTACTTGATACTGAGTTGCATGGCGTTCAAGCCAGTGACGACACGTATCAGGGTGGCTGTGGGTGACCATGGATACATGTGTGTATACTGCACAGATTACCAGATAATGCACAACCTACAATTTGGTGTTGCTATGTAGGATGTCTCCATTTCCCCACTAATTCTATAAACTGTAGCTAATTACGCCTTTCTATCTATGCCCCAAAATTCTAAGAAGTAGTTGCAGTGGTTGTTTGTTTCCCACTGCTTAAAAGGCACCCAAATTCCCTGCAAGTATCTGGTATCTGTGGTGAGTACCTGGGTGAAGATGGGAAGGTACTGGTCTGTCTTTGCAGCTTTTCAGGAGCATTCCTGTCTATCGTTAACTATGTCTGCTTGTCCTGAGTTGCTTATGGAAATGTGTTCTGTCCACAGAAACAAAAGAACATTGCAGGGGCTCTTGCCTTCTGGATGGCAAATGCATCTGAGCTTCTCAACTTCATCAAGCAGGACCGAGACCTTAGTCGGATCACGCTGGATGCTCAGGATATTTTAGCACACTTGGTGCAGATGGCATTTAAGTAAGGAGAGTGGTTGAGAGTGGCATTGTTCCGTGAAGAGCTAAGTTGTGTTTTCCTAATTGAAGTTGCGTATCAAGAAGCATAACCAAAAGGGGTGGACCTGAGAATAGTGCATTCTTTGAGCTATGTTCAAGAATCCTGGGATACAATTTTTATTTTTTTAATGGGAAATATTTCTGAGGGGTCTTTGTTCCCATTTCCTCCATGGGGAACAGGATATGTTTCTCTTATCTGTACTTTATCCTGTATGCTAAAATAAATCCTTGCTAAAAACTTCAAAAAAAGAATCAGAAAATGTTTTTAAGAATATATTGTTTCACGTGGTAACATGTCTGACCATCCAGTGCATCATGCTAAGATTAAAATTGTTTGCGTATCTTCAGATACTTGGTTCACTGTCTTCAATCAGAACTTAATAACTGCATGCCAGCCTTCCTGGATGACCCTGAAGAGAACAGTCTGCAAAGACCAAAAATAGGTGAGGATATTCTTTGTATCTTCTCTTTGTTGACATTTAACCTCGTCTTAAGGATATAGCATATATATAAGGGGTTGTGTTTTTTAAATGTATGAAATGTCTTGTTGATCTCGGCAGTTGTTAAAATAACTTTTAAGTACCGTTGGTTATGTTTACTTCTCATTTTGGATATGTTGTGCTGGTCATACTTCCTAAAAATTTGTGGTACTGGGGTTTGAGTCCGGGGCTTTACGCTCGCTAAGCAGACGCTCCACCACTTGAGCCACTTGCCAGCCCCCTAAAAAGTTTTTTGGGTGGATTTATATTGGGAGCATGTTGAGTTAATAATTTTATGTAGTTGAAGGCCACATTGCTATTTCACATTTTAAAAAGATTGGTGTTTTGAAGTGATCCAGCAGCAGCTGTTACACCATAACGCCCGTTATCTAAACCTGGTCTCTCCCTGGCAGATGATGTGCTGCACACGCTCACGGGGGCTATGTCCTTGTTACGGCGCTGCAGAGTCAACGCGGCGCTGACCATCCAGCTTTTCTCTCAGCTCTTCCACTTCATCAACATGTGGCTGTTCAACAGACTGGTGACTGACCCCGACTCCGGGCTGTGCTCCCACTACTGGGGGGCCATTGTCCGCCAGCAGCTGGGACATATTGAAGCTTGGGCAGAGAAGCAGGGGCTAGAACTGGCAGCCGATTGTCACCTGAGCAGGATTGTGCAGGTGTGTACACAATTCCTACCTCACTTTGAACTTTTTGGTGAACGTAGCATTTTATGATGAGTGAGGACTTAGATGCAGTAAAACCTCAGCACTCCCTTTTTGGGCTTTTTCCCCCAAGGACAGATAATGAAATGATGCCATGTTAGTGTCTAGGCTGCCGTGCAAAACACTGCAAGCCGAATGGCTTAGCAGAAGTTCATTGTCGAGTTCATCGTAGAGGCCAGAAGTGGAAGTCAAGGTGTTGGCAAGGCTGGTTCCTTTGAAGGCCTCCCTCCAGCTTCTGGTGGTTTACAGCAGACTTTGGAGCTCCTCAGCCTGTGGAAAGACCTGGATCTGCCCGTCTTCTCCTGGCCTCCCCTGTGTGCTTGTGCAAACTGTCTAGGTGTCCACTTGTATGGAGACAGTCATTCCGGACCTACTGACTTCATTTTAACTAGATTACCTCTGTAAAGACCACATCTAATAATGTCACTTTCTGAGATACTGGGAGTTAGGTCTCCAACATTAGAACTTTGAGGACACAGTTCACCCCATAACAGGAAGGTAACCAGTAGAATATAAATACCCTTGCCTCAGTTCCTTGGAGCTTTCTCACAAGGCCAGATGTCAACTCACACAGGCACGATCCCACTGCTGGCTCCGACAGGGTACTTTATGTTCTGATCAGCAAGGTGTATTTTAGAGAGCCCTGTACTGAAAGACACATACTAATTTAAAATGGACAGTAATTAATTTGTGTGTGTGTGTGTGTGAGAGTGTGAGAGTGGGGTTTGAACTTAGAGCTTCATGCTTGCAAAGCAGGCCCTCTACTGCTTGTGCATACCTCTAGTCCATTTTGCTGTGATTATTTTGGAGTGGGGTCTTGTGAACTATTTGCCCTGGCTGTCCTAGAACCTCAGTCCTCCTGATGTCAGCCTCCCAAGGCAGCTAGGATTATAGGCATAAGTCCTTGGCACCCAGTGATGATAATTAACTGTTAAGAATAAAAGCCAAGTCCTGTCCTAATGTCTCAGCACTGAGAGGACTGTAAATATCAGACTAGGAGCTAGTGTTTGAAGACAAGGAAGTGGGTTATCTGTAGCTTCAAGACCTTGAACAAGTTTTTAAATTAATACAATGAATTTTTTATTCTTATTTTATTATTATTATATTATTGTTTTAATATAATACAATGAGTAACTTGGTTCCCAATTTTTTTTTATCTATTTATTTCTTTAGTATGGAGAGGCTGGTCAGCTAGTCATGACTAGCTAGTTATGACTGTATAAATAGTGAACTTACCAAATTCTTTAATCTGAATTGTTATATAAATGTTTAATCTTTCAAAGAGAATTTTTAAATTACTATAGTTATTTGAATCTAATTATATATATATATTTTAGTAAAATCAAGAGGGCATCTAAAAGTCTTTATAAGACAGTGCTTTTGTTTAATGTACACAGTTAAATGTTAAGAGAACTGTGTTTCTTTATAAACATCCTGTATTTCAAAATTAAATTAGTAAGTTATTATCTCTTTTTTTGTTTGTTTGTTTATGGGACTGGGTTTAAACTCAGGGCTTCATGCTTGCAAAGCAGGTGCTGTACCTCTTGAGCCACACTTCCAGCCATACCACCAGTGCCCAGCTAAGTTATTAGTTTTATAAATGTTGCATAAAGGATTTGGGATCTCTTTTTAGTGCTGGGAATTTGAACCTAGGGCCTCGTATATGCTCTGCTGCTGAGCTACATACCCTTAAAGTATTTTTAAAACACTTCTAAATTATGATATTTCATGTCATTTATTCTTTTAAATAGGCAACTACTTTGCTTACCATGGACAAGTATGCACCTGACGACATTCCAAATATAAACAGCACCTGCTTCAAGTTAAATTCACTGCAACTTCAAGCCTTACTGCAAAATTATCACTGTGCACCTGATGAGCCTTTTATCCCAACAGTAAGTGAATATTACATCAAGATGGGGGCATGTTTACTTGGGGAAATTTGGATGAAAAAAAAAGAAAAAACAAAAACTTAGTAACTTCTTTGTTCATAAGTTAGCTGGTTTAAGTTTATCTCATGAAGTGATTTTCCTGGTTATGTCTGAGAGAGTTCAGTACAAGAAGAAACCACACAAGCACTTCAAATAGGAAGGGATTTAATTCATGGAATTGTTTCTTGGGAATTCCTCGGAAGGACCAAAGGGGAGAGGAAGCTGGTAGGTTACCCCTGGACTGTTGAGCTCAATATGCACCACCGGACCACACCAGCAGAGGGCTGGAGCGGTCTGAAGCCGCACGATCCCTCACAGTGCCATGTGTGCACTCTGGCCCGCAGCAGTAGCAGCATGTGAGCCTTTTCTGCACAACTGCCTCCCAAACTTGGTGCAGTGGTGTGTGGTTGGTACAGCTCAAAGTCTTATCCAGAAGACAGCCTGGAGTTTGGGCATTCCTGCCACACCCTGTACTAAGGAGTGGAGGGTGCAAAACCCAGTCCATAATGTCTGCCATCACTGAGTGGTAGGCTGTGGAATATCTACTGTGTACAAACACCTGAGAGAAACATTTTGAAGGAGGAAGGATTTCTTTTGGTTTGAGAGCTTTCAGTCCATGGCCACTTGGCTCCAGGTTTCTGGCCATGGTAGAGCAGAACTGCTCATCTTGGTGGCCTGGAAGTAGAGAGAGATAAGAAGCGGCCAGGGTAAGATCTACTCTTCAAAGACACACCCCCAGTGACCTACTTCCTCTAATTAGGCCCCACCTTCCATAGCTCACCACTTCCTAGCGGTCTTTTCAGATGTTGAAGCCATTGGTGGATGAATCCGTTGATGAAGGCAGAGCCCCGTGATGCAGTACTTCCCAAAAGCTCCCCTCTGAACACTGCTTGCATCAGAGAATAAGCTTTCAGTACCTTCGGGGGTACTTCATCTCCAGACTATATTACCATCAGAGCCAGCTGAGGTGTGCTCTGAGGATTATGTAAGTTAACTAGTATTGAGTTTATGCCAATGAAAGACAGGCACAACATAGCCCAAGACAAGCAATTACGCAGTTGGTAGTAGAATGTATCAATAAAGCATGCCATAGATATGTAAATAAATGCTGCATGCAATGAGAAAGGGTGAATTATAGTTACCCACAACTTAGATGAATTACGTGGTGTTTACACAGAGGTCATATGCAGAGTCCATCTGTTTGAATTTTCAGAACTAGTCTGTGAAGTTAGCAGCAGGATATGAACACCATTTGCTTTGGGGGAAAAGGAGAGGATGGCAGTGGTGAATAGGACAGCTGCTCAGGGGGCCATTATTCTTTTCCAGAAGTGGAAGTGGTGGCCAAGCTGGGGGGGTGGGGGTCCTCGTTTTACTGAGCTGTACTTGTGAACTTTCCTGTGTGTGTGTATCAGTAACATATTTTTAAACACAAATGACTCATAAGGCCATAATTCAGAAATACCCTTTATTGATCTGTTTCCAAAGTTGGGAACATACCACGTAGGTGTTGTATTCTGATATTTTATATTTAACATTATATAGGATCTTCACTATGTCATTTAAACACTGCACAGAAATGATGATTAGTAAAAACTGAATAACAAGGAAGTTAAAGAATTATGCAGAAGTGGCTACTTTGGAAAAGGGAAAAACATTTTCTTGCTATTCAGTAGTTTGTTTTTCTGTGAAGTTATAAGTAGTTTGGAATTATTTAAATATGTGCATCTTGTGTATGTGTTGTTGCTTTTTAAAAATCTGGTTTTGAGTATACCCTCCTCCCGCATCCATGGGTCTGTGTAAGTATGTGTGAGATGGCACACTGCAGTGATCAAACAGCTTTTGAGTAGCACAGACCTCATGCTCCCAGCAGTGAGCACCTTGTGATTCAGCATTTGTCTTCCAATAGGAGCTCATAGAAAATGTGGTGGCTGTGGCTGAGAACACGGCTGATGAGCTTGCCCGCAGTGATGGCCGGGATGTGCAGCTGGAGGAGGACCCTGACCTGCAGTTGCCTTTTCTTCTGCCAGAAGATGGCTATTCCTGTGATGTCGTCAGAAACATTCCAAATGGTTTACAAGAATTTTTAGACCCTCTGTGCCAGAGAGGTAAACACCGCTTATCATGCCTGAGCCTGAGCTGTGGCCAGGCTGAAGTAAGCCATGCATTGGCTGTCAGGGGGCGGGGGGAGGACCCACCTCCTGGAGAGCTGTGTTCCCATGACTTGAAAAGCATTTCATGGTGACGTAGGGTTGAACTTGTCTAGACACAAGCCTGTGTGGGTGTGTTGTGGCCCTCCAGTGAGCACCTGCTCTTGCTACCTGGTCTCATGGTAACAAGGGACCTTTGACTATTTCTCCTGGCATTTCATGAGCTTAGTACGTCGAGTCATCCCTGTAGGACCAAGCTGGGACCTTTGTGTTGATGTTGACTCAGCAGAGCAGTGGAGAGGAGCACCATGCTATCTGCTGTGTGCCAGCTGTGCTGCTGCAGACAGGTTATCCCTTGCCTTAGTTTCTCACCTATAAAATGGGACAAGATGTTGCTTTGAGGATTGGACAGTGGTGAGGACTCTTAAGTGCCCAGTGTCCTGTAGCTGTTGCTAGGGGACACAACACCAGGTCGGCATGCACACTGCTGTTGTGTATGGAAGGGCTTGTAGCACTGCAGACTTAATCCACCTCAGACATCTCCCTGTTCATATGACTTTTGCTACATTGCATTACCTGGTGTATCTTGATTGTAAACACCATAGGACTAGTGCTTAGGAGTCTGGTTTATAGTGAGAGTGCGAGGCTCAGTCTTTGCAGTCAAGGTCTCAATGTCCCTGCTTCACGTGAGCGTGTGAGCTCTCTGTCTTCATACTGGGGAGTGTGAGTGCTCTGTCTTCACAATGGTTTCTGAGTGCTGAATCTTTACAGTGTGGCTGAGTTTTGGAGTTTCAGCTTGTCCCACCTTGCTGTGTGTTCCTGATGTGTGCTGAGCACTCAGTAACTCTTCAGTTAATATCTTGTAAAGAAATAAGCATGAGAGACTGATTTGCTGGTGCTTTGCAGATGTGTATAAATCACATTGTGAAAGAAAGCTAGTTTGTTTTATTTGCCAACATAGGAACAGTGGTGTGTTAACTTCTGTGGGCTCCCTGTAAATTTAGGACCTACATGGTGTTTCCTCGTGGTTGTGGGCTCACTCATTGCTTTATCTGTGTTAGATGATCATAGTTCACTAGCCTAGTGAATAGATGCCTTCAAAAGACTTACAAAGAGTTGAATGTTATTACCTCAGTGTCTTAAATTCTTCCCACTCTAGTCCTTGTTAGCTGATTAAAGAACTGCTGTGTGCTCTGGGCTCCTTTTGTTTTGTCATACAATGCAGTTGTGTGACGCAGACTATAAAACAAGCCTGGACTAAGCCTGGGCTGTCCTTAAGCTATAACAAAGTTTCCAGCAGTAGGGTCCAGAACTAGTTAGGGAATACTGACAGTTGAAAAAAAACTACCATGATTTATAATTGTTGAAATTTCAAAAGTCTTGATAAATTTGTGGTTTCCTAAAACATGGGAAGGCAGAGCAAGGTATTGTTACATTTTAATGAGACTGTTGAAATAATGGGTTTTTTTTTTTTCAAAACAAAGAATAAAAGTAAAATTTCTCATATTTTTAACTAAATATGTTTTTTTGTATTTCCTCTTCTTTCTCCCACAAATAGCCTGTCATAAGCGTCCAAAAATAGCAGTCCAAATTACCCAATGGTGGGCAAGACCCTGGCTGGCCCAGCTGTGGCCCAGTGTCCACACAATGCGGTCTTGGTCACATAGGTGGTCAACAGCAAGAAGAAGACAGCCTTAGAGCAAAGTTCAGAATTGTGAAGGCCTGTGTAATACGACTCTGTCAGAAAATTACTGAGAAACACAAAATAAGATTTGACTAAATGAAGGTTGACGTGTTTTAAATCAGAAGACTTTCTTTTATAAATTGCCATTGCCCTTGATGAGAATATCAGGAATACTTTTTTCCCCTGGTAGTGCTGGGAATCAAACCCAGATCTTGCACATGCTAAGAAAGCACTCTGTCACTGAATTAGAACCCCAGTCCCAGAAATATTTTTTAAAACATAAAATGATTCTAATTTGTATTTGTAAGAAATTTAAATGAATCTGAATTTACAAGAAAATTTGGAGAAAGTGTAAGAGAAGGTACCCGCCTGACCCCAGAATTATTGTACAAATCAAATAACATCTTTAAGAGAAGTCAGTTAACTGTGGCGGGTGGACATCCATGCGTTGTTCTCTGGCTCCCTCATCTCTCCTTTGTTGAACAGATATGCTGAATATCATTGTGGGTTTCCTAGTCCAGTGCAGTAAACAGTTCTGCAAGGAAGTAACTCCAGGGCAATTCAGTAGTATCTCACAGAAGAAAGAAAATGTTCTTTGGAACACAGAACGAGAAACACAATTTCACTATTCTTTTTCGTGTTGAAACCTTACCTGGATCAAGAAGACTATGTAATTTTAAATGTCTTATAATCAAGTTTTCAGAGGGGGTAAATGCATAGAGTGAGAAAGATAAATTTTATCACTAAGGTGCTAAGCCAGCATAGTTGGCTATGTATGGTAGCACGTCTGTAATCCCAGCACTTAGGAGCATGAGACAGAAAGACGTTTTGCGAGGCCAGCCTGGGATTCATAGTGAAACCCAATCTCAAGAGAAAAAAGAACACTGTTAAATAATCCTTCATTTGTCTCGCTTCCTTTGTGGAGAAGCGCGTGTGTGCTTTGGATGCTTTCTCCATGGTGTAACGTGTTTGCTCCTCAGGTTTTTGCAGGTTGATTCCTCACGCACGCTCTCCAGGCACTTGGACGATACATTTCGAAGGGGCAGATAATGAAAGCCACCTTGTGCGCGAGAACACAGAACTGGCAAGTATCTTGAGGATGTTAAATGGGCTAGAGTAGGAAGTGCGTTCCTAGTGACTGCAAGACTTGCTGCAAATCTGCTCTTCGCTTACACTGAACATTGCTGTGGTAGGACGATCTTAAAGTCACTAAAATTGTAAGCTCAATTTGACTTAGACTGCTCTTTATATAGATAGCATATGGATTTCCCCTGAGCCGGATTGGTATAGTTTTAGGTGTAAAGTAACACGTGATGCTCACAATTACGACAATCTTAATGTTAGTATTTTTCTAAAAACATGTTAGTATGGTAGCTTTACCATACTTCCTACAGAAATGTTTTTATTGGCCTCAACGAATGAATAAATCAAAAGAAATTTCAAAAACAAAATTTAAATTTTCAGATGTGCACTCACGTAAGTCATTTGGTCCCACGTTGTCATTGGTTATATTTAAGTAATTGTATGCTGTGCTAAGGATTTCCCTGCCCTTAATTTTGTAAAACTGTGCCTCCCAAAACAAATGGTAGCCCAAAAGCAAGGTAAAAGTGAATGTGCTTACTTTATGTGCTTAAGTGAAATTTTGAGGTTTTTTGAAGGGCACCAGTCTTTACTGGATGTTGGGTGGTGGTATGGGCAAAGTGAACCAAGCATCTGTGGTACAGCCCTGGCTGTGGCTTTTCCACAGGTGTGCTGTGGACACCAAGGGTCAACTTCACTTCAGATCTTTTGAAACAGTAGTAAGGAATTTCATACATCTTAAGCATCTTCAAATAGAGTTTTAGACAAAAGAGGGTGTTTTGTTTGTTTGTTTGTTTGTTTTATTGGTGATTTGAACTTACATCACTTGAGCCAGGATCCAGTTAATGATGCTTTTTTGCATATTAAGTTCATTGTCATTAATTTATGTTGGTCCTTAGCATATTTTAGGTTTGAGCATATATCAGAGCCATCTCTAAAACTTGGATTGATAATTGTTCTCTTATACCACCTGTGTGTGCACATGTGACTGATGATAAAGTGACCATGCTACTAATACTTTTTATTAACCTTAATCGCTATTTTTGCTTAAATTCAAAGTTAACAGCAGCAAGGTCTAATTACAATTTTATAGGGAAACAAGTATTGTTTTAGAATCACTGAGTATGTTCTAGTTTATTCTCAGATTTCTAAGGAGGTAGATTTCAGGTCTTGACTTCAAACAATATTGTGATGTCACATAATTTTATTTACTTTCCTCAGAATATTTTCACAAGCTTTGATTATTTGCCAACTAAATTAAAAAGCCATGTTTATAATTACCACTTTTTTTTAAACTTAAAGGGATTTGTGATTTCCTATGTATATTTAGTTTGCAAATACTGGAAATGTATTAAGAGACAATTTCTGTCACTTCAAAAACTGCCTGAGGTAAATTCTGATGAAGGATTTAGGTCAGGTTATGTGAAGCTCCACATTTCAGACCTTGGCTTCTCTGTGGTGGGTAGCTTCCTTTCCACACATAGCACCAGCAAGAAAGTCTCTCTTTCATGTGCTGTCTTCGGCAGTGCCCTTTGATGCTTACATATTTTACTCAGAACGTTCTACCTTAGTGCGTATGCACTATTGGTTTTGTTTGCCCTCTGGTGTGAGGCGTGACACATGTACCCCTGTAACTTTGACAGGTGATCTCTCTTCTTTTTGGCCTGCTTCTGTGGGCTGTGTTCCCTTTGGTTGATTACCCACCCCAGGGGCTTCTCTTGCCCATGTTGTGAATGTGTGTGAATCCTGAGCTACTTTATTTTTGCCATTTAAAATAAAATGACTCTTGCATATTCCCAAGAGACAAAGATGTTAATTCATTTTTGTTATAGCCATGTTTCTTTATTCTCCCCAGACACGGTGTAAAGTAAGTTTAAATTTCTTCTTTGGAAACAAAGCAAAAGAAATCCTGGCAATTGATTTTGAAAGAGTGCTAGGTAAAAATTGAATTTTGTCTTTATGATTGTGTTTTCTAACCTCATAGTAACAGCAGTTTAATCCTGTTTTATCAGTTAAGTTCTAAGATAACGTTGGAACAGCATTATGACTTGGTGGCTCAGGCTACTCTTTCCCTTCTCCATTTATAATGTCCTCGTGGAAGCACTTCCATTTCAGTCATAACGTAAACTTCTGTGCTCTTGCTTTAGGCCCAGCCTTTGAGGAAGGAACCTGAAGTAATCACTGTGACCCTAAAAAAGCAGAATGGAATGGGCCTCAGCATCGTCGCAGCAAAGGTAGGAGCCCAGGAGAGCCATCCCTCCCCTCCTGACCATGGGTCTGCGTGGTCAGGTCTGGTGGGCCAGGTGTTCTGCTGCCTGCATGGACAGTGCCTGTTCAGCTCTGCTTCTGGGGAGGGGAGTGTGCTGTGTGTACGAAGCCATTGTGACACTGGCCGTTCACTGAGGGATAAGCTCCTGCTCTGAGAGTGTGGCTGGGCTGAGTGGTACATTGAGACCACACAGGTAGTCTCAGAGGAAGCAGGTTAAAAGCATGAGCAAGGCTCGAGTGGCACAGCAGGGAAAGCAAGAATGGCATAGGAGAAGAGGACTTTACTCTGTCACCTTGTCACCAGGCGTCAGACCTTCAGCCTTGAATGACTGTGATAAGCAGGCTTCTGGTTCTGCTCTCTAGATTGGAGCCAAGGAGACAGCTGTGAGTCCTTCCCAAGGGTGCTGACTGCTCCACCACCTCCTAGAAACCTCAGGATTTGAGCCCCTTCACCCACTAGTGTGTAACAAGACAAAAAACCCCACAGATCTTTTCTGTCAGTTAAAGGAAGTTAAGTCTGTTTCATCAAGTGGGGACTGAAGTATTTGCTTACACTGAACTTCAGTTTGGAATCACAGTTATTTTCAATGGAAAAAACAGAATTTTTTTAAGCTAACAGTCAATAACTAATAGTTTAGTCAGATATGTTAATATTTTCCTTAAAATAACACTTTAGCAACTAAAATTGTTATCTGTGTCCCTGTCTCTAGAGAATATTTGATCAGCTTGCAAACACATACAGCAGTATGAAAGAAGACTCTCTGAATGGCTTACTGTTAGTGTACTCCGAGAAACAGTTTTAGATCATTAAGTCAGTCATCCATACCAGACTTATATTTTCTGGATATTAATGGGACATAAAGAGACTAACATTTGAAACCCTGCCATTGCCATTACTTAGGGACTCGTGCTAAGTAAGCCCCTTGCCCTCACCCTGTGACTTGCAAACTGTCCGTTTGGCTTGAGGTCAGCTCTGCACCAAATGCCTGCAGAAAAATGAGGAACATGCCAAGTCATGGCTTACCTGGAAGCAGATAGTGAGCTGGCAGGCACAGTAAACACAGGAGCCTTCCTGGTGGGAGACATTGAATGTTTTGTTCCCATTCTTAGAATCATTGTCCCTGCTGTTATTTTTCACAGTAAGGCTCAGGCTGGGAGTGGTGGTCTATGTAATCCCAGCACTCAGGAGACAGACGGGGTTTACCAGTTCAAGACCAGCCTGGACTACACAGCAGATCCTTTAAAAAAAAACCAAAAACAAAAAAAGCAAGCTAATATGTTCTATTTTGTCAGGATTTTCCTGGCAGCTCACCCTTCCTGCCCCTGTCCCCTGAGTCAGGGCAGGTCCCTTTCTGCTTTCCTTTCAAGCACTTTACACAATTGGAATTCTGTCATTAGGATTTGGATCTCTTTGTCCCTGCCAGCTGCCTGTAGCATTTCTCTGTAGTGTCTCCACCCCGCAACACAGTCCCTTTCATATGGTAGACAAAAATATTTGTTGAAAAAAAATGAATAGATAACTTTTTTTTTT